TAGCCTACTTTTACAATGTCAGGTAAGATGTTCAACTAAAAATTATAAATAATTCGTAATAGTAAAAAAGGCTTAATGTATATTTGCCATTTATGTTACTCACTTTTTTAGTAACATTGCTGGTAAACCATAAACCATTAAACCATAAAAAATGATGCTTGACTGGGCAAGTATGAAGTATTGACTATAAGCGGGCAAGCTCTGGCAAGTCTATTGTACTTCCTTTCCCTGTAGTAACGCTCACTGATTAGTATGGAGGAACTAACTTGATAAGTATGCAGGAACTCACATACTAGTATGCAGGAAATCCAAATTGGTATGCGGAAACGCGATAGAGAGGGCCTATCTTGATCCTTCATATAGTTTTATATACATGCAACTCCACAACAGCACTGATATCAAGCATTCAATTAAGCAGTGGAACTTTGGAGACCAAACGAATAAGAATGAACGCGCTCTAATTGGCTGCCCTAACAGGAAAGATGGGGCTTTCCCGCCAGCCTGAAATTAGAATTACAGTGAAATACAGAAATACAACTTCAACTTAAAATTAGCAGCTCCATATCATGTTTATATACATGAACATATACATGTAGAGTAACATCAGTCCTTTATATTGGGACTGCAACTAAATGAAACCACTAGAACCCATCCTAAGGGAACACAAAAATAGAAGGTGTTAATCTGTCTCTATTAATTAAACACAAATCTTGCAATGTTTATTTGAAGTATAAGCTATCCTAACTGTTCCAGCTTTTACCTGTTGAATTTTCATTCAATTCTTAAAATGGTGGTTATCATGCTGTACTTCTACTACGTGTGTCCTGCGGGAACATGGCTATTCTCGTCCAAAGTGCTACTCCTGTTAAAGCTGCTGCTGCTGCTGCTGCTGCTACTGCTGCTGCTACTGCTGCTGCTACTGCTGCTGCTACTGCTACTGCTACTGCTGCTCCTACTGCTACTCCTACAGCTACTGCTACTGCTACTGCTACTGCTACTGCTACTCCTACTGCTACTCCTCCTCCTACTCCTACTCCTCCTCCTACTCCTCCTCCTCCTCCTCCTACTACTACTACTCCTCCTCCTCCTCCTACTACTACTACTACTACTACTACTACTACTACTACTACTACTCCTCCTCC